GAGGTTTATCCATGCTGCGGCATGTGTCAGAACTTCCTTGTAAAGGCTGAATAATACTCCGTTGTCTACATGTATGGCATCAAAAAGAACGAAACACTTGGGAATTAACCAGGGAGGTGAAAGGCATATACAAGGAAAATTATAAAATGTTGCTGAAAGAAATGAAACACAAATAAATGGGAAGACATCCCTCCATGGATTGGAAGAGTTACTGTTATTAAAATGTCAGTATTACCCAAAGCAATCTACAGATTCTGTTTGATCCCTGTATAAATCTCAGTGACGGTTTCTATGGCCTCTCTTAATCAGAATGTTTAGTCCTTGTTTCACTTATTTCTTGATAATTTGGTTTTGTATCTGCCATCTTACTATTTGCTTTCTGTTTGTTTTGGCTGTGTTTTTTTTGTCTCCCCTCTCCCCTCCTTTTTGGATTATTTTTTAAACTTTATCTTTCCTCTCTATTAATCATACTTTTTTAAAAATAAGTTTTTATTTATTTATTTGACAGAGAGAAAGGATCACAAGTAGGCAGAGAGGCAGGCAGAGGGGGAGGGGGAAACAGGCTCCCTGCTGAGCAGAGAGCCTGATGCGGGGGCTACATCCTTGGACCCTGAGATCATGACCTGAGCCGAAGGCAGAGGCTTAACCCACTGAACCACCCAGGTGCCCCTAATCATACATTTTTTATTAAGTAATTATCAGGGAGATAATAACCTGCATCTTTGACCTACAAAAGTCTAATTAGTAATTTTACTTCTTCCTGGACTCCTGCAAACACCTTAGAATACTTCAATACTAATTCTGCTTACCCAATTCCTAACTCATATGTTGGGTATTTTAATCTGTGCATATAAAGCACCAAGAGCTGATAATATTTTATATAATTTTTATTAATTTAGGTGTATCTATATATTTACCCTTTTCTTGCCTTTCCCTCTGTATCCTCAGGTTTTCATCTGGGATAATTTTCTTTATCCTTGAAGATCACCCCTATTAATTTTTCTTTGCTGAAATTATCTTTGCTTTTAAATTTTTTAAATTGTGGTTGCATGCATATAAAGCATAAAATTTGCCATTTTGACCTTTTGTATTAAAAATTTTTACTTGTAAAATACAACAAGATTTACTGTTTTAACCTTTTTTGAATAGGCTTTATTTTTTAGAGTAGTTTTAAGTTCACAGCAAAACTGAAGAACAGGTAGAGCGATTTCCTCCTGCCCCGCACACATGCCTAGGCTCCCTCATTACAGATGTCCCCCACCAGAGTGTACATTTGTTGCAATTGATCAACCTGTATTGATACATCATTATCACTCAAAGTCCATTGAAGTTCACTCTTGGTGTTGTATATTCTGTTGCTTTGGGGAAATTTATGATGACATTATCATACAGAGTAGATTCACTGCCTTAAGAATTCTGTGCCCCACCTGTTCATCTCTTCCTTCCCCCTAACTATTTTTAAAATGTTAACATATTTAATTGTGGTAAAATATACATAACATAAAATTAACCATCTTAACCTTTTGTTTTTTCTCTCTTAAACCATTTTTTGGGAAGATTTTATTTATTTATTTGACAGAGAGAGCTATAGTGAGGGAGGGAACACAAGCGGGGGAGAGGGAGAGAGAGAGGAAGAAGCAGGCTTCCCGCCAAGCAGGGATCCTGATATAGGGCTCGATCCCAAGACCCTGGGATCATGACGTGAGCCGAAAAGAGATGCTTAATGACTGAGCCACCCAGGCACCCCTCTTAAATCATTTTTAAGTATATAGGTAAATAGTGACTAGGGTACCTCATATAAGTAGAACCATAGAAGTCTTTGTCCTTTCAGGATGGCTTTTTTTTATTTAACAAAATACCTTCAAGGTTCATCCATGTAGCATGTGCGAGAACGTCATTCCTTTTTACGGCTGAATGTTCCATTGTATGTGTATCATATTTTTTTATCTGTCCGTTTGTTGATGGATATTTGGGTTATTTCTACCTTTTGCCTGTTGTGGAGTAATGCTGCAACGAACACTGGCATATGAGTGTCTGAGTTTTTTTTTAATGCTTGTGGTTATATGCCTGTAAGTAGAATCAAGGAGTCATATGGTAATTCTACATTTAGCTTTTTCAGCAACCACCTGAAAATGTTTGCAAAGTGGCAACACTGTTTTATGTGTCCGCCAGCAGTATATGAGGGTTCCGGTTTTTCCACATCCTTGCCAGCACTTGTTACTTTCCATTATTTTGGCTGTAGCCATACTATTAAGTGTGAGGTGGTATCTCATTGTGGTTTTGATTTGGATTTCTGTAATGACTAATGATCATCTTTCTGCATGTTTATTGGACATGTGTATATCTTTGGAAAAATGTCTATCCAAGTCCTTTGTCCATTTTTCAGTTGGGTTGTCTTTTTTTTTTTTTTTAGCTTTTTATTTTAATTCCTGTTAGTTAACATACGGTGTTTATTAGTTTCCAGTGTACAGTCTAGTGGTTGAACAATTCCATACATCACCCAGTGCTCATTATGACAAGTACAGTCCTTAATCCTCTTCAGCTGTTTCACCCATCCCCCACCCACGTCTCCTCCGGTAACCATCAGTTGGTTCTCTATAATTAAGAGTCCATTTCTTGATTTGTTTCTCTTTTTTTTTTTCCCTTTGCTCACTTGTTTTGTTTCTTAAATTCCACATATGAGTGAAATATGGTATTTGTCTTTCTCTGACTTATTTTGCGTAGCATTATATTCTCTGGCTTCATCCATGCCATTGCAAATGGCAAGATTTCATTCTTTTTATGGCTGAGTAATGTTCTATTGTATATATAGACCACATCTTCTTCATCCATTCATTCATGTGCGGACACTTGGGTTGCTTCCATATCTTGGCTATTGTAAATAGTACTGCTATAAACAATAAGCATACATGTATCCCTTTGAATCATGTTTTCTAGTTTCAGAATTTTTATTTAGGGTTTGAAAAAAAAAACACAGTTGTAAAATTCTCTGCTGAAATTTTAAGGTCATCCTTTATTTTCCTGAAAATACTAAGCATAGTTAAAACTCCATTATGCAGATGCCTGATGAATCTGTTTATGTTCGCTGTTGTTTTCCTTGGTTCTCAGTCACGGAATCTTTGTCTTTTTCTGCGCTTGGATATTTTTGTTAGAATGCCAGATATGATGACGAAAAATTATAATTCCAGCTTTGCGATCATGTTATCTTCCTTCGATCCTTTCCAAGGATTTACATTTAATCCCTATGAGGGTTAGTTTATGTATCTTATCGCTGGTGTCTCCTTACTCTTAGAATGAAGACATCTTGAGCTCAGTACAAATCCTAGAGACTTTCTCAGCAACTTGGACCTTCCTTGGGGGGCTGTGATTCTCAGTATTGATTTTTTAGCCCTTGAAATCTGTCCAAAGCTCTGTTCAGCTTTTTAGCTTCTTATATCAGAATTACGAGATGCCTTAGGGGAAGACATTGCTCTAAATGTTTATTAGTTAAACTCTGGGTTTCCCTTTTCTCTCACATGTTGGCTTTGTAATTCTTGGCTGCCTTAGTAGCTCTCTGGGATGTACACATATATCTTTAAAATTGTAGTAAATATACATAACTAAATTGACCATTTTAACCATTTTTCAGTGTAGAGTTCAGTGGTATTAAGTACATCTACATTGTTGTGCAACCCTCACCACCGTGCACCTGGAACGCTTCGTTTTACAGAACTGGAACTCTGTACCTATTAAATAATAACTCCCCATTCTCTTCTCCCCTCAGCCCCTGACAACCCCCATTTTACTTTCTGTCTCTATGAATTTGACTGCTCTAGGTGTCTCGTGTATGTGGAATCCTATCTTGTCTTTTTGGATTTGGCTTATGTCATTTGAGCATAATATCTTCAAAGTTCAACCATGCTGTGGCATGTCTCAGACTTTCATTCCTTTTATTGGCTGAATAACCTTTTGTCGACTGGATACACCACATTTCATTTGTCCATTCATCATTAATGGACACTTGGGTTGCTTCCACCTTTTGGCTATTGTGTATAATGCTGCTATAAACCTAAATATGCAGGTATCTGGTCCCTGCTTTCAGTTCTTTTAGGTATATACCCAGAAGTGAAATTGCTACATGATTTGGTAATTCTGTGTTTAGTTTTTTTGAGGAACGATCCTACTGTTTTCCATAGTGGCTGCAATATTTTACATTCCCATGAGGAGGGCACAGGGGTTCTAATTTTTCCATATCCTCACCAGCACTTGTTATTTTGTTTTATTTTGTGTTTTGACTTTGGCCATCATAATTGATGTAAAGTGATTTTCAAAAATGGTTTATGTAGCTTTTCTAGTTTTTACTAGGAGGGTTGATCCAGAAGTGAACCACTCCATCTTTCTTTTGCACCTAGCACAGTACTATATATAGAGTGTTCTGGAAACTAAAGGGGTATACAAACGCAAGGTCTGAGTCAAAGACAGCAAAGTGTGATGGGTAAGCCTTGACTTCTGGAATTACAGTCACCTGGGTTTGAAGTTGTGTGACTTTGAGTGAGTTATTTTACCTGTGTTGAATAAGGATACTATTTATATATAGTTTTTTATTTTATGAAAAGCAGAATAGTAGACTAGGACTCCAAAACTTGGGTATTTGTCCAGGGATTAGTAAAAAAGAAGGTAATACTATCTGCTTGACAAAGACAAAGTGTCTTGTGAGAATAACATGAAGTAATGCAAAGAAAAATTTCTGGCATTCAATAAGTGCTCAGTAAGTTTTAGCTATTGTTTCTTTCAGTTGTAGTTTTTGTTGGCTTATGAACCAGACATGCTATCTATCATATTTGCTGATTGCAGTCCCAAGTCTAAGGTTAACTTGCTCTTTTTCAAAAGATATTTTTCGCCCCCAGTGGTGTCTGTGTGATAGGGTTTCCATTGCTAACTGTATTTGCTTGCAGCAAAAAGGAGCATTAATTATCTCCGTCCTCACTTAGTCCTCACTTTTTTTTTTCTTATTCTATTAGGACTCTGGTTAGGAGTAGAATGGGACAATCCCGAGAGAGGAAAGCATGATGGAAGCCACGAGGGGACTGTGTATTTTAAATGCAGGTAATTTTTCATTATGAATTTGCACAGTTATTTCAGGTAATATTCAATAGTTGAATAAAGGGGGATGGAGAAGAAGAAATGTTTGGCTCTGGGTATAGTTATAATGTAGAATTTGATGTATTCTAAAAAAAAAAAAACTAATTTGCAGAGTTTTTTCCCTTAGCTTTTAAAACTCTGGCTCTTAACTTCACAAGTAAGATTGCTTGCTTTTTTCTTCTTTGGGTTTTGTTTCTTGACCGCTTTTTTAAATTGGATAAATATAAACATTTCTCATCGATAAACAATTTACAGTCCACTAAGTGAATAATAAAAAAGAGAAATAACCTAGGTATCCAATAAGAAGCAGTTGATTAAACAAAGTACAGACCACCTGAACAGGGGACTGCTAGGCCACTGTCAAGAAAAGTGCTTATATTGCTTATCTACCAATATTTTTAACTGCTTGAATTCAGAGAAACTTTATGAAGCTTTGAAGAGGATGGTGGGATGCTTTCAGACAGAATTTTTGAAATTTTTGTTGTTTGTTTTCCTTAGTAGGTTTCAGTTTCTCAGAAAGACCTTGGTGTTTTTTTGTTTTTGTTTTTTTTTTGTTGTTGTTGTTGTTTGCTTTTTGTTTTTTGAGAGAAAGCATAAACGAGGGGGAGGGCGGAAGGAGAGGGAGAAGCAGACTGTCTGCTGAGCAGGGAGCAATGCAGGACTGACCCTTGGACCCTGGAATCAAGACCTAAGCCAGAGGCAGAGGCTTAACCAACTGAGCCACTCAGACGGATCAAAAGATCAAAAAGGTCTTTTAACATCAAACTTATTTTCCCTTAAGTGTGGCAGAGTGAACGCAGTCCTGGCCCTGTATGAGACTAAATTTACTAACCTCTAAAATGGGGATCAAAATTAGATAATAGCAAAATATATTTCCCAGCCTACCATTCTGTAATTTTAGAGAATCAGGGTGGAAGAAGAATCAGGCAGATGGCAGACTTGGAATGAGGCCAGCTCAGATATGTCAAGAGTTCATGGGAGATACGTTTAGGGAGGTGTGGAAATAGAAGTTCCTTATCCTGGCTTGTTGATCCCCCACCTTCCTGAACCGTGACCTCATAAACCTTCCAGTGAAGGAGCTTTTCCTCAAGAGCCTGCCCAGCACCGTTCCCTTTTCTAAAAGCGCGCCCACATCATTCGTGATTGCATGGACCTTAATGGGCTCTAGATGGAGTGATGTTTTCACTCTTGGTTATTCTTAGTGTAAAAATGAAGAGTTGTTTCAGTCTTGACAGACCTTCGGGATTTGCCCTGACGGGCTGATGGAGACCTTGGTTCAGGAACAGGGACTCATTGTTTGGATTCTTTCCCTTGGAATAGTATTTGCTTATTTCCTCATGTCTTCTAGTGTGGTCATGCCTGAGCGTTTACAAACTGAAATACATACTCTCCTGTTCCAAACTACTGTTCTTTCATTTCATTGAAATGAGCCTTTTGTTGATTTAAAGTGTTCTCTTTCTAAACAGTTATCTTTTTCTTCTGGTGGGCATGAAATCTTTTTTTCTTTCCTTCTTTCTTTCTTTCTTTTTTTTTTTTTTTTTAAAGATTTTATTTATTTGAGAGAGAGCACGCACACACAAGTGGGGTGGGGGTAGGAGGAAGTGGCAGAAGAAGAGGAAGAAGTAGGCTCCCTGCTCAGCAGGGAGCCCAGTGTGGTTCTTGATCCAGGACCCTGAGATCATGACTGGAGCGGAAGGCAGATGCTTAACTGACTGAGCCACCCAGGTACCCCCCACCCTGCCACCTTTTTAAAGAAATCTGAAAATGTAACTTTTTGGTGTGCCTGGCTAGCTCAGTCAGTAGAGTATGCGACTCTTGATCTTGGGGTTGTAAGTTTGAGCCCCATGTTGGGTGTAGAGAGTACTTAAAAATAAAATCTTCAAAGGGGTGCCTGGGTGGCTCAGTTGATTAAACGTCCAACTGTTGATCTCTGCTCAGGTCTTGATCTCAGGGTAGTGAGTTGAAGCCCTGTTTTGGGCTCCATACTCAATGTGGAGCCTACTTAAAATAACTAACTTTTTATTTTTATTTATTTATTTATTTATTTTAAAGATTTTATTTATTCATTTGACAGAGAGAGAGAGAGAGAGATTACACGTAGGCAGAGAGGCAGGCAGAGAGAGGAGGAAGCAGGCTCACTGCTGAGCAGAGAGCCCAATGAGGGGCTCGATCCCAGGACCCTGAGATCATGACCTGAGCTGAAGGCAGAGGCTTAACCCACTGAGCCACCCAGGCGCCCCAAAATAACTAACTTTTTAAAAAAGTGACTTTTCTTTGGCACCAGTGAATGGAATACCTGACATCAGAAGAAATGCGCTGTTCTAGACTTTGTGCACAATACTGGATAACTTACAAAATAGAATCTTGATTTGCTCATCCTGCATGTGTCATAAGATTGTTGTAAAGTATTTTGAGGTTCTTAAGTGAGCATTAATGGATTAGTATAAATTATTCCCCTGCTATGGTGTAAAGAGTTAAAAGAACTTTTTAAAAAAAGTCACTATGTACTGATAGTTTGCAGACAGGGCATATTTCTGCAAAAGATGAAGAAGAGAGGTATTTCATTCTTGGAAAACTCCCATAAATCAGGGCAAAATAAAAATTGCGTCACTTGGGGTCAGTCTACAAAAAAAGTGAGCTGTTTTTCCTTTGGAAAATTAGTCTACCAGGTCAGTTCTCGCGTAAAGCACTGTACATCAAGTGAAATGGAAGTTAGTTTTGCAAGCTTGCCTAAAAGGCTCTAAACATGTCTAATTTTGTCTGCCGCAAAATAGGGTATAAAGATCAACAAGAGACCCAGCCTTTCCCAGGAGGTAGCATCTAAAGCCCCAACAAGAAAAATGCTTACTATGGTTAATTGGTCTGTGGAGGACCCTTGCCTTTGAGTAATATTGCCAGATTCGAGAAAGAAAAATATGGAATGCATAGTGAAATTTGGATTTTTAGATCAATGGCCAGTCATTTTTTAGTATAAATATTGGACATGTATGGGACATAGTTATACTAAAAAATGATTGGCTATCGATCTAAAATTCATATTTCACAAAATTCATCCTGAATTTTAGCTGACAAACCTGTTGGGGAGGTAATAGTGCAAATTGAAATTCTATGACAGGGCTTCATGACTATTCTCCATTCCCACAAGGGCCATGGTCAGGATGTTGATTTCATTCAGAGCATCTGTAATTGGTGGGCAGGAGGAGGACAGAACCAGCACAAGCTGAATGCTTATGAGGGAAAAATGTTTGGACTCTCCTCCTTCCAACCCCCCCCGCCAATTTTTTTCTCTTTGGGCAGGGTTCAGAATTTCAGTGTTTTGATCTACCATCTCAGTAATCATCTGGAATGAGTCTATGTAGATTATTAGTTTATTTTTGGATATTTATTGTTACTGGTGGGCCTTCATTCACTTGGTATTTTTCAGTATTTGCAGGTCTGTTTTGTTTTCTGAGAAACCCTTCAGGAATGTTCCAGAGGAGACTGATCTTTGATGTTATCCTTTGATCTGTAAAGGGCATAGCATCCACTTTGCAGCTACTTAATACATACCATTCTAACTCCTTTGATCTGCCTGCAGTCAAACTAAACAGTAATACAGATCTCTTCTTGAATGGTTCATCACCACTGTTTAAAAAGTGTGAATTTAGAACCAAAGTGAAAACAGTGGCATTTGTTTTGTATTGTGTTTTCTCATTTATTAGAATTGTGCTAGTTTTTAAACTTATGTACTCAAACTGTTTCATTTATTTTTTGTTGCCGTATAGTTGGCAAACAATGTTATGTTAGTTTCAGGTGTTCAGCATTGTGGTTTGACCGTTCTCTGCATTGTACAGTGCTCACCACAGTGACTGTAGTCCCCATCTGTCAACGTACAGTGTTACTACGGTAGTGTTGACTATATTCCCTGTACTGTAGTCTTCATCCCATGACCTTTTTTTTTTTTTAAGATTTATTTATTTATTTGGTGGGGGGCAGAGGGGGAGAGAATCCTTAAGTAGGCTCCCTGCTGAGCACAGGGTCCGAGGCTCCATCCCAGGAGCCTGAGATCATGACCTGAGCCAAAATCAAGAGTCAACTGCCTAACTGACTGAGCCACCCAGGCACTGCCCCACCCCCATGACCTGTTTTTAACTGGAAGTTTGTACCTCTTAATCCCCTTTACCTGTTAGGCTTATCCCCACCTGCCTTCCCACTTTGGTAACCACCAGTTCCGTGGATTTAGGACTGTGTTCCTCTTTTGCTTGTTTGTTCATTTGTTTTTTAGATTCTGCATATAGGTGAAATCATACTGTATTTGTCTTTCTCTGACATATTTAATTTTTCGTAATACCCTCTATGATATTGTTGTGAACATGTAGTGCATTCCTATTGTGGATGGCAAGATTTCATTCCTTTTTTTTCTGAGTAATTGTTCCATTGTGTATTTGTATGTCTGTATCTCATCTTTATCCATTCATCTATGGATAGACACTTAGGTTGCATCTGTATCTTGGCTGTTTTAAATAATACTGCAATAAACATAGGGATGCATATATGTTTTCGAATTAGTGTTTTTGTTTTCTTTAGTTAAATACCCAACACTGGAATTGCTGGATTGTATGCTATTTCTACTTTTAATTTCTTAAGGAACCTCTTTACTGCTTCCCATAATGGCTGCACCACTTTACATACCCACCAACAGTGCACAGAGGTTCTCTTTTCCCCACATCCTTGCTAACACTTACCTGTTGTCTTTTTGATAGTAGCTATTCTGACTGGTATCTTATTTTTTTTGTATGTATGTGTGTATGAATGTATTTTTAAAGATTTCATTTTATTTATTAGAGAGAGAGATATGAGCAGGGGGAGGTGCAGAGGGAGAGCAAGAAGCAGGCTCCGCACTGAGCAGGGAGTTGGATGCAGGGCTTCATTCCAGGACTCGATCCTAGGACCCTGAGATCATGACTGAGCTGAAGGGAGATGCT